CTCGGCACAGACCCCCCCTCTCGGCGCCCCCGGGTGGACGAGGCGGCCTCTTCTCCTCGCGGGTTTCGGGCGGTCCCCTGCTCCGTCGTCACTTCCTTTATTTTTATTTTAGTTAAAAACACAAAACCTGATCCTTCGGCGGGCCAGAGCCCGCTCAAACGCGCCCCAGGGTGGGGAAAATTAGCGCTCTCTTCCTCGCGACTGGGGAGGCGCCCTCTGAAGGGGAAGGGGCCCTGGCCTCCAAAACCTCGGGCCCCGAACCAGCCTTGGAGAAAACTAACGGGAAAAGTGGCCCGAACTTCGGTGAGGGGGGAGCAGGCAGGAGGTTGTGGTGCCTTTGAGAGTGGGGTGGAAGGGGCTCTCCGATGGAGGTCACCTCCACCTGTGCGCACCCTCTCCGCGCAGAGCCAGAGTCCGGCCCTGGGAAGGGTCTGAGGAGACTTCTCAGCCTCGGAGATTTCATTCTCCTTTAGGGAGGCCCTGCCAGATGTTAGACGCCGCGAGTTGCGGAGCCTCTGGAAACCTTTACCAGCGGCTCTTTGGTGATTCTGCAAACACTGAAGGCCCTCATGCCGTAAAAGGACCAGAAGCTTTTTTTTTTCTTCTTTTGGAGACAGAGACTCGTCCCACCATAGTCTGTTCTGCACCAAGAACTTTCAAAACTGCAGTTCGTCACTGCGTTCGGGGTTAAATAGCCTACTCTGTTTTCGAGGCAAGGTTTAGAGGAAGGTTTCACCTCTGCCTCACTGCCAGCGTTATCTATAGAGTGTCCTGCCTGCCTGGGGTGGAGGTATTGGTTGGGCCAAAAAAGCGCCTGAGGTCCAAGTAAGTGGCGGGCAGCACTCTGAGGTGTTTCATTGTTTTGTTTTAAGACAGGGTCTCATATGTAGTTCAGGTTAGTTTTGAAGTCATTATGTAGTCCAGGCTGACCTGGAACTAGCTGTGATTATTATCCTCAACATTCCCAGTGCTGGGATTACAGGCACGCGCCACAACACCAGGCCCTTACTCTGAGGTTTTTTTGACGGCTACACTGAGGACTCATTCTGTGCGTCTCAACATTTGCGTCAGAAGTGGAACTAGGCATTTTTACATTTAAATGGGAGAAAGCTGTGCCCCAATTAGTAACATCCATTGTGTTTTTTTATTATTAATTTTTTTTGTGTGTGTGTGTGTCTTTTAAAGAGTAGGAAAATTTAGTGGGGAATAGAAATGGGAAATAGGAATCTCTCCTGAGTAACTGGAGGGGTCCCAAATGGGCTGCCCCAATGTGTGAAGGACCATGTTATATATTTAGCATTTTCAACAAACTACAAGGTAGGTATTAACCGCACTTTGTTACAGATGAGGAATTTGAGAATGTAGAGGGTTGTTGATAAGATTGGCTAGTTAGGTTCAAAATAGGGTTTTAATGTCCAAGATTTGTCCTTAGAATACATACTTGGTGTAGAATAAGTTACATTGTTGTTTTTCCCCTTAGTTCCAGAAAAAGTTCAAAATAGTTTTAATGTCCAAGATTTGTCCTTAGAATACATACTTGGTGTAGAATAAGTTACATTGTTGTTTTTCCCCTTAGTTCCAGAAAAGCTGTATTTTGATACCAAGGTGTGACAAGTTTCAAACGTAGTACTGTGCACATTATATCTTATTTAATGTTAACAACCCTGTGAGATAGGCATATTGCTCACTTTAGAGATGTAAAAACTTGAATAAGCACTTAGCCTTAGGTAAAAACTAAGTGGCAGAAGAATGGTTTGAATTCAAATCAATTTGTATTCACAGTTTTCTCTGAAACCTTAGGGGGTTGCTCTGGATGTGGTCTTGTTGCTTTTAGGCCTGGAATGTTGGTAAACAATTATGTACCTACAACAGAATGAAGCCCTCAGCTCTTGCCTCTTGGTCTGGGGATGTAGCTCAGTGATATAGCACTTTCCCAACAGGTAAGAGGCCTACAGCTTGGTCCCCAGCACCAACTAAGAAAAAAAAATTTTTTTTTAATTCCTCTTGGTGAAATTGTGCTTGGTGGTTTTTACAGTGTAATTCTCCAAACCTTGGTGAGAAGGTGCACTGAAAAATTGTGTTTTCATCATCATTAAACACTCCTTTGTGTTTCTTCTGAACCACCTTTTTTTCTGAGTCTTTTTTTGGGAGGGTACTGGGAATCGAACTCGGGCCTTTGAACTCTCACCCTTGAACTCGCGAGGCAGGCAGCAGAACCACTGAGCTAAATCCCGGCCTTCTGATATTTTTTTCCCCACAGTACTAGGAATTGAACTCAGGACCTTGTGCTTGCCAGGCAGATGCTGCACCACTGAGCTACATTCCTGGCCCTCCTGAGAAAGGGTTTTTCTTTCTGTAAGCTTTATGACACTGGCCTTCATGGAAGAATCTTAAGGGGTAGTAATAATCTGTCAACAGTTTATTTTTTTCTCTGAATTAGTCCTCTCATAAGTAATCTGTTTACCCATATATTTTTTTTTTGTCTTTTTTTTTTTGGTCAGTCCATTATCATTTGATACCTAGAAAAACGTGTACAACAGTTGTAAAGTTTAATTCAACACCATGAAAAAGTTTATCCAAAGCACAAGATCTCGGTTTTGGTTTGTTTTGCCGTTATTCTTCCCTTTCCTTATGTCCCTCATTGGAAATAGCAAGCCTCCTGGGTAGCACTAACTCTAAACTTCTTTGCAGAGATGCTGAGGATGCAATTTATGGAAGAAATGGTTATGATTATGGCCAGTGTCGGCTTCGTGTGGAGTTCCCCAGGACTTATGGAGGTCGGGGTGGGTGGCCCCGTGGTGGGAGGACTGGGCCTCCTACAAGAAGATCTGATTTCCGAGTTCTGGTTTCAGGTATGGTTCCTTTCAAACTGAATGAGATGATGCTTGTAAACTACTTTAGTCTGGCCTCTAAGGAATGTTAGCTGTTTACTCAGCATGTGACATATGTGGGCTTTTCAATAACCCATGCACAGTAATAGCCTGAAGCCCTGCTGTGGCTTACCAGTGTCCTGCAAATTGCGCTTGCACTAGTAGTCCAACTTTGGTAGAACATAAATATGTAGTGTGGGGATTTTTGGTAGGGAGATTGAACTCAGGATCCTTGTGCTTGTGAGCCAAGTGGTGGTTCCACTGAGTTAAATCCCTGGCCCTTGGTTTTGTTTTTTAAGACAGGGTCACTCACTCTGTAGTTGAGGCTGCCCTTGAACTTCTGCCCTCGGCCTCCTGAGTGCTGAGATTACAGGTGTGTGCCACCAATGCTTGGCCTAGAACATAAATGTGTTTCTTATAAACGGTTTTCTCTTGGTGAGAAGGAAAGGCAATGGCAAAATCCTTTCATTTGGGATTCTAAAGATATTTTCTTTTGGAACATACCTTGGTATCAGACTTGCTAGAAAGATATTTATTACAGGAGCCAGATTTGAACAACTAACCAACTTTGGATCCTGAAAAAGGCTAGATTTCATGGTGGTTTGGGGATTGTATTAAAAAGAAAAACCAGCCGCTGGGCGTGGTGGCGCACACCTGTAATCCCAGCACTCAGGAAGCTGAGGCAGGAGGATCACTGCGAGTTTGAGACCAGCCTGGACTACATAGTGAGAACCTGTCTAAAAAAAACCGAAAAAACAAAACCCCACAGTTTGGAATCTTGTACATTGTTTAGGCAAGTATAGAACACTTCTGTCTAGTGTTAACAAGTGATGAAATGCTAAGCTCAGAAGTTCATGTGTTTTTGAAATATTATTACAGTGGGAAATACTAATACCGGGAATTTCTGCACAGTGCAGGCAAATTTTAGAGCCCTACTGGAGTGAGATGTATTGAGCAGCCTGGCATCTTTTAGGATGTGAATGAATTTCCCACAACACAGCAGATTCTCAAGTGCTTAAGAGTGATAGTCCCTGCCTATCTTATGTCTTTCTGTAATTTCTTAACCCCAGAACTGTGTTCCCTCCTTCAGGATATCATACATTCTTTTTTTTTCTCTTCATGCTGCTCTGAAATCCTGCTTAGAAAACTATTAGGAAATGGCTGCAGTCCTGAGCTGTGAGCGGTAAACACAGCCTGTGAGAGCAGGAGCACATTTCCCTTTCATGACATCAGGTAGGGTTGTATGACTCCCGACTAGTTTTAGCGTCTGAATATTATCTTTTCCCCCACTATAATGAAGAATGTTGGTGATCTCTTAAGAGGTACTTTGTCTAGTTTGTCGGTCATTCACCCTATAAGAAAATACTTTTTATATTTTTGTTGTTGTGTTGTTACCTTTGGCTACACTTGGTTATTTCATTGGCTGCTTTCAAAAATTCCATGTTCTAGGAAATCTGGTCAGATAAGTAATTAGCGTTGATTAAACTTCACATTGGAAAAGACTGGAAATTGGTTTTGGGAGTTTGGAATTGACTGGAGGAAAAAGGAAGAGGTAAATTTGCAGATGTCAAACCTATAAATAAGATGCTCTGTTGGGAAGGTTTTGGTCTCTGGAAGATTAGTGTAGAACCAGCTTCTTGAGGTGGTGTGTCATACTTGCTTCAGTGCTTTTCTCTGGTTTTATGTCCCACAGAGAAGACATATGAACTAGTGGCTTTTAACAGGGCAGTTAACATGGCTGAAGGATGTGGGCTCTTGTGTTCTCTGTGCCTAGGACTTCCTCCATCAGGCAGCTGGCAGGACCTGAAAGATCACATGCGAGAAGCTGGAGATGTCTGTTATGCAGATGTGCAAAAGGATGGAATGGGGATGGTTGAATATCTCAGAAAAGAAGATATGGAATATGCCCTGCGTAAACTGGATGACACCAAATTTCGCTCTCATGAGGTGGGTCCCTACCTTTTACTGAGCTGCTCCTAGGTCACGCTACTGGCACCTAACCCAGCAATACTGTAGTAGCAACAGGCCCTGGCAGAAGTAGCAGGCCATGCACTTGCCATTTGATTATCTCATCGTGCTATTAAAGATGTACTTTAAGTGAACAGAGCAGAGTTTTATCATACTTAAACCCTGGAAGGTCACAGTACATTGAAGTATGTATTCATGATTGTTTTTAAACTGAAGAAAATAAAATACTCATGCAGCCTTTCATAATGTGAAAGCAGCCTTTTACAACTGGCTTTTTTTCTTTTTCTTTTTGGTACCAGGGATCGAACTCAGGATCTTGCGCTTTTGAGGCAGGCAGCGGCACCACTGAGCTAAATCTCTGGCCCCTACACCTGGCTTTTAAACTGCATTGTCTCTTATGGCTGTCCTTCCTCTGGTTGTAGCGTGGACTCTAGGCCACCCTTCATTGCTTCTTGGCAGTAGGCTGAGTTTTCCTTCACTTTCCTTTTCTTCTTTTTTTTTTTTTCCAAGATAGTACAGCTTCTCTTTGAAACCTGAGCTACCTTTACATCTTAAAATTGTAACCTTAACCTCACCCTTGGGGTTTTGGGAAAGACAGTTATTGAGGGTGGAACCTAGGGTCTTTGTACTGTGCTACATCCCCAGCCCCTTGTATTATTTTTTTTCTTACTTTTTTTTTTTTTTTTTTTTTTTTTTGGGATTTTGGTACTGAGGATTGAACTTGGGTCCTTGAACTTGCAAAGCAGGCTGCTGAACCACTGAGCTAAATCCCCAGCCCATTACTAGTGTTTTTTGAAACAGATTCCCACTATGTAATTCTGGCGGGTCTCAAAGTTGTGGCCTCCTGCTTCAACCTCCCAAGTGCTGAGATACAGGCGTGCACCACCATAACCAGCTCATTTTTATTTTTCAACAAAGTCTTGCCAAGTAGCCCAGGCAGGGCTTGAAAGTTCATACCTGCCTTAACTTCCCAGGTGTGTGCTACCACACACCTAGCTGGGATTTCTTGATGTCCGTTTTAGGAAGGTAGCTGCTGTTTTGGTTTTGTTTGTTTGGTACTGGGGATCGAACTCAGGTCCTTGTGCTTGCAAGGCAGGCGCCGAAACCACTAAGCTAAATCCCCAGACCCAGCTGCTGCTTTGGATCCCTTCAAACAGGAATTGGACATTGTTGTTGGTCATTTCCCCACCCCCAAGCCACCCCAGTTATCTGTGCTGTGGTGTTTATGGATAGCTGGGGGACACATCTCTAGACTTTTTTTCCTTTTCTGAAGGTTTATATATTCCCTAGTTTTATGACTTAGAGCAGTGGTGGGGAACCTGTGGCATGTGAGCCACAGTGGGCTGTTTGTATCATTGAAAGCTCTAAAAGGTTTGCCATCACTGCCTTAGGAAATCATCCTTGCATAGATTAGCAGTGCTTTTACTCAAGCTGTCCTCTGAGACTTGAATTTGGAACAGAAACAGAACAGCAGCTGGTCCTTATACTACAAGGAAGGGTTTCACTGTGGGTGAATCCAGTGATTGTAACCTGAGAAAAAGACATTTGACTTCTTTCACTTAGCATCTTTGACTCTTCTGAGGGCAGAGGGCCTGGGGTCAGGCAAGCCTGAACATAATATTAATTTCTTAGCTGAGCTGGTACTCTGAACCCTAAGTGGTCTCTATGCAAAATGGCTGTAGAATAGTGTGGTCACAATCCTTGCCAGAAAGCTAACCTATGAGTATAACTAAAACATCTAGTCTTATGTCCTGACATCTAGGAGTTGTGTTGAAAACAGGTTAGCTTCTTCCATTAAGGTGATCTTGAGCAAATGAAAAAACGTTAAGGCTTAATTTTCCTCCTTTTGCAATGAGGTAATAAGAGTATCTGCTTCCATAAACTTGTAAAGGTTTAATGAAATAGGTGACAGTGGCAGGCACAAAATAAGTGCTCAGGACTTAATCATTATTACTAGACAGCTAGGATGGGTAATACTTTGGTTATTCTTCTAGCTCTTTATTTTTTCCTTTACTCTTTGTTTGAATTTCAGGGTGAAACTTCCTACATCCGAGTTTATCCTGAGAGAAGCACCAGCTATGGCTACTCACGGTCTCGGTCTGGGTCAAGGGGCCGTGACTCTCCATACCAAAGCAGGGGTTCCCCACACTACTTCTCTCCTTTCAGGCCCTACTGAGACAGGTGATGGGAGGCTTTTTCTTTATTTTCTAGATGACCTGAGCTGCTTTGTGCTCAGAATCTACATTCCAGATTGATGATTTAGTGTCTTAGAAAATTTTTTAAAATTTTTTTTTAAGGAAAAAATACATAATTTCTACCAGGGCCATATTAGCAGTGAAATGTTTTAAACTGCAGGCATTGTGGTTTTGGTTCAGAAACAAGTTGTATATTTTTCACCCCTGATTATGGGGGAAAAAATCAGTGCTTTGTCTTTGTGGGTTGCTCTGCTATGGAGAACAGCAGCTACTGTGACTGAGTTGGCCCATTCTGTTTAGAAATATATTTTAAACGTTTAGTAATTGACATGTGTGGTTGTCCTTAATTAAGTATATAGGTTTTACTTAACAGATAACACTAGTTTAAAAAAAATCATTGAGTTTTCATAGCAGCTTGTACCCAGTTTGTAAGAACAGAAATGTATAATTTTACTTGGAGATGTCAGTTCTAGTGGTGGCTCAAGAATTTCAACTCCAATGGCAAGTCTAAGATTTTTCCTTATAATTTAAGCCTGACTTTGTAAATTAAATTGCCTTAAAGAAAAAGGGAAGGTGGCTGAAAACAGGCTCAGGGCTATTTTTATGCTAAGTTCTCTTTTCAGAAAGAGAAACTATAGGTGTTGTTCCATTTGCATATAATCACTTTGTGGGATGGAGGATAGCTCTGTAATATTTGTATAAGTACCACGCGCTAACCGATTGCGCCACTGGAGCTCCTGCTCTGTAATATTTGAGCACTGTTGAGACCTTAGTGTAAAAAGTTAGCTGTCTGCTGTGAATAAAGTAGGTACCCAGGAATAAATATAAGTACATTGTGTTTGGTAAAAACATCACTCAAGTTAGTGCAGGCAACAACTAACAGTGACAGCTCAGGCTGTAACAGTGATTTGATGCTTGTTTCTGTCAAATATATAAACAGAAAAGTTCACTTACATGCCACTTGATAATCTTTTAAAGGAAGGTAGAGGAAGATAATGTTTTGGCTAGAGTTGCCAATTCTAACTTTGGAACAGTTAGTTATCAAGACTTGATTGAGCATCCATTTTTTTCAGGTGACTGAAGAAAAGACTTTAGAGTTTATATTAAAATATCACCATGGTGCTTCCATGTGCCCCTTTCCAGAAGAGCTACTTAGCTGTGTAGGAAGGGCTCTTGTTCATCCAGCTTTGGTAAAGAGATATTACCTGTTAGAAAATAATAAGAAAGAATGTTATAGCCGAGTTCTGCAGAGTTGGTCTCTTGATAGAAAATAACAAAAATAAGTATACTTATTTTCTAACTCTGAGGCATGTGAAAGAGCTAATTGTAAGTATAGCTAAATTAATGCACTTTTCAGTTAGGCATAGAAACAGGTTAAATTGCCATTTATATGCAGGTAGGGTTAGAAGGAAAGACAATAAGGTTCTATTTGGGAGATAGTATATATGATCAACAGATACCTCTGCTAAAGCAGTGGTAACTGCTGGGCGCTGAGATAATGGGATTACAAAATCTTCTCCAGTTAACACAGCAACCAGAGGCGTGTAGAGTTTTGTTTTGGTTTGCATGCCTGCCTTCACATCCTTCAACTACAGCAGTGATGGTGAACCTATGGCACTCATGACATAGTGGGCTATTTGTACTATTGAAAGCTCTAAAAGGCTCACCATCACTGAATTAGAGCTTTCTTTCTAAGCTGGGCAAGGTGGTGCCCACTTATAATCCCAGCACCCAGGAGGCTGAGGCAGGAGGTTCTTCTCAAGTTTGAGGCCAGCTTGTGCTAAGTAATGTATTTAAGGCCAACATGATCTACATAGTGAGACCCTATTCCAAAAGATAATTTTAAAAACCTAAATGCCCAGAGAGTACAACATCTGAGTAATCACCCATCTGCACAGTAGATAAAAACCATTACTTAGGAGCTGGGGATTTAGCTCAGTGGTGCCGCTGCCTGCTTCGCAAGCGCAAGGTGTAGAGTTCGATCGCTGGTACCACAAAAAAAAAAAAAAAAGATTCTGGATTTTACTAGTGGGCTAGAGCTAGGGGTTTTTTAGGGAGATGGGATGGTAATAGGGATTGAACCCAGGACCTATGCATTGAACTACACCCTTTTTAAATTTCTTAAAATTTTGAGACAGTCTAGCTAAGTTGCCCAGAATGGGCTTGAATTTAAGACCCTCCTGCCTTAGCCTCCCAGAGTGCTGGGATTACAGATATGTGCCACCATGTTCAGCTTCACGAATTCTTTTCAAGCTTCCATTTAAAAATTTCACAGTGTATGGGCCAGGGATTTAGCTCAGTGGTGCCACCGCCTGCCTTGCAAACACAAGGACCCAAGTTCTATCCCTTGTACCAAAAAAATTTTTTTTCACATCTTGAAAATGCAAGTCTCCGTACCAGGTACTACAAATCAGAGTCTCACAGGCTTTATTTGGCTTTTGTCAGTTTGTGCTCCCGCCAGCCTCCTGTGGGAATTGAACCCCAGAGCCTTTACACTGAGCTACCTCCCCAGCATTCTCTCCTTAAAAATTTAGACAGTGTCCTACTAAGTTCCCCAAGGTGGGCTCTAATTTGGCAGTATGGAAGCCAGATATGTCTTGTTTGGCCTGTGGGGTTTGTTTTTGTTTTAAATTTGAATTTGTTTCCAACACTTAAAAGTTTGGGAGGGCCGGGGATTTAGCTCAGTGTTGCTGCTGCCTGCCTCGCTGGTGCAAAGTCCCAAGTTCAACCTCCGGTACTAAAACAAAAAAAACTTGGGGAAATAGCATACAAAATGTCAGCTATCCAGGTTCTCTGGGAAAATGGGTTCACTTTCCTGCCTGGCACCAAAAGAGAAGTAGTGAATGCCAGCTGTCTCTTTAGGCACCGCTCCAGTGCTCTGGCTCCAGATTATTTCTCCAATCCCACTTTGTTCATTCCTATAACTGAGTGGCCCTTGGAGATAAGTGTGATACCTAGACTCTAATGTTGTCTTTTTTTTCTTTTGTTTTCTGAGGGTCTTGTTATGTAGTTTAGGCTGGTCTTGAACTATGTCATCTAGACTAGTCTCCAATTTAGGGTGATCCTCCTGCTTCAGCCTCCCAAGTGTTGGGATTACCGGCGTGCACCACCACGCCTGGCTATAATGCCATATGCCACCACCTGTATTCACTTTTTCCAAGTGCCTTCCAAGCATCTTTATCCACATATCATTTTTGTCCTCATAGTTCCTACTTCATTCCTTAGGTTACCTTGTGACTAGCTGGACTGTTAAAACCACTCGGGGCAACACATACCTGGGGGTGCCACAAAATATTCCTCCACGACACAACTGGAGTTTTTCAGTAGTTCTTCAGCACAGTTGCCTTCTGCTACATTGTCAGATCTCAAGTAGAGACATCTGCAAAACCCAGAAGTTCAAGGTTACTGTCTCAGAGAATGGTGCTTCTAGGGCATAGTAGAGAAGGTCCCAGTGGTTGAAAGTTCCAACACACAGGTGCTATGGTCAAGAGTAGACCAAATAACCATCTACAGTCTGTAGAGTCTCCTAATATCTGAGGTAAGTGGCAATTACTTCTCAGGATCAATGTTTTCAACAGGTATTTATGGATGATTACTAGGAGTGGTTATAGCTGGATGGAGACAGATGAAAAAGCAATTAGCATAAATTGTTAAATTTTAACAGGAATAAGCACAGCCTGCCAAGGCACTAGAAAGGGTACCTAGCCCAGCCTAGGTGTGAAAGTATGAACTCAGAATAAGTGATCTCATTGTGAAAGTGCAAGAAATAGCTGCTGGTGGTTGGTTGTTGGCCAGGAGTTTAGCTCTGTTTCTGCTGCCTGCCTTGTAAGCGCAAGGTCCCAAGTTCCATCCCTGGTACCAAAAACAGAACAAAACCAAACCAAAAGTTGGTGGTGAATGGGAAAAAGACTTCTAGGAAGCGGCAGTGGCATGGATCCTAAAGGAGCTCAGCAGGTTCAAAGAAGGGGAGAGTGCGGAAGGCTGCAGCATGCCCAGCTTGGGTGAAAGGAGGCTGGAATCTAAGCATCGATGCAGCATGGTGCTTGCTCAAGAGTGACCAGCTTAAGGATGTTGATTCCTAAGTGGCTGTCCTGTGATCTGAGCCCTTTGTGGCGCCCCAAAGATGAATGCTGCTTTCACCACAGCCACTTAAGAGGATATTGCAAGTACTTACTGTTGAACAAGACATACAACAAATAGCTCAAGAATCTCCAATTGTTACTTGGGCCTGGTAGTTTTTTTTGTTTGTTTGTTTTTTAATTTGTTTGTTTGTTTACTTATTTATTTATTTATTTATTTTGGTTTTTTGAGACAGGGTCTCATCCTCCTTGTTTATTTATTTATTTATTTATTTATTTATTTTGGTTTTTTGAGACAGGGTCTCATCCTCCTGCCTCAGCCTCGCGAGTGCTGGGATTACAGGTGTGCACCACCACGCCAGATCTGGGTCTGGTAGTTTTAGTAAAGTGTCGAGATGGCTAACAGGAACTTGCAGACGAACATGAAGCCTCACCCTTGTTTGAAGATAAAAAGTGCCTGAACAGAGGTCTGAGCCTGTCGGAGTTGAGTTAAAAAGTCAGAAATCACTAGAGAAATAAAGCTTTCCACTGTGAGTTGGACAAAGACAAGCTAACCCTAATGGGGTCCTGTCACAAAGGAGCAGGAATGTGACATAAGTGCACAAAGGCTCTCTGTAGGACTGAGTTGTCAGTGTAGTTATTTCAGGAAAAGAAAAGGAATTCTGGCCGGGTGTGGTGGTGCACGCCTGTAATCCCAGCATTCGGGGGGCTGAGGCAGGAGGATTGCTGTGAGTTCAAGACCAGCCTGGGCTACATAGTTCCAGGTCAGTTTCAACTGCATAGTGAGACCCTGTCTCAAAAAACCAAAAAAAGAGAAAAAAGAATTCTGGTACCCAGCCTAGAGCTAAGCACAATAAATTCATGATTGAGGAGCAGAGTATTTAAGGATCCCCCACTATACATGTTTGTTTGGTACTAGGGATTGAATTCGGGCACTTGTGCTTGTGAGGCAGGCAGCGGAACCATTGAGCCAAATCCCCGGCCCCTTCCCTGCTATCTTAACTGCCTTGAGAAAGAATGATCTTTCCAGACCTTAAAGAGTTGTCCTTTGGGTGTTTTTAACCAAGGATTATGTATTCACTTAAAATAACTTAGAGGGCAAAAAATAAAAATTATCTGTAATCATACCATTCAAAGATGACCCATGGACTTTTGTTTGTTTTTTGGTACCAGGGATTGAACTCAGGACCGTATGCTTGTAAAGCAGGTGCAGTGCCACTGAGCTAAATCTCTGGCCCTAGACTACTGTAATAAAATGGCTACAAGCTTAGGCTTCCAAGTCATAGCTGAATTCACATCCTAGTGCCACAATTACTTGTCCTCTCCATGTTTTAGTTTCCTTGTAAAATTCTTCATGGGATTGCTGAAATTTAATGTTAAAAAGTAAGGTCTGGGGCCAGGGATTTAGCTCCATGGTGCCACACCTGTCTCGCAAGTTTAAGGTCCCGAGTTTGATCCCTGGTACCAAAGGTGGGGGGAAGATCTGATACTACATTCGATCCCCAGTACCCCCCACAATGTGTACTCAGCACATGCTCTTTCCCATTCTCAGTCCATTCACAGTAGGTCTGGATTTGTTTTTTTGTTTGGTTGGTTTTTGAGATGGTCTCACTATGTAGTGGTTCAGGTTGGCCTTGAACTCACTATATAGCTCAGGTTGGCACATTACATTTAATAACCAAATTCAGTAGTATAGCTGGATAAAAAGTTAACATAGAAATCAGTAGCATTCCTATATACAAATAAACTCAGAACTCCATGCAGTCATCCTGCCTCAGCCTCCCAAGTGCTAGGATTACAGGTGTGGCCCAAAACTTCTGGCCATCCAATGGTAGATTTTAATATTGATTTTTTTTTTTACTCATTTGGTAATCAGGTCCTGTGACAGTTTTAGAAGAGATTAGCCCTTTAAGCACTATACATTTCCACTTAATTCTTCTTTATAGTGGATTTATTCCTAGAATAAATAGGCCCATACCTCCCTTTTTTTTTTTTTTTTTTTTTGGGTAAAAGTTCTCACTTTTTTTGCCAAGTTGGCCTTGAACTTATTTATGATTCTTCTACCTCAGCCTCCCAAATAGCTGGGATTTCAGGTGTGTGCCGCTGTGCCCACCCTTATTTTCATCACAGGCTACTAAACCTACCAAAACCCTAAGGTTTGCAAGTTGCTTAACTTTCCTGGACCTTAAACATGTGCATAAAATATCAAGAGAGGGTAGGATGAGCTCTTCAGGTCAAAGGAGAGTGGGTGGGAGGGAGAGAGAGAGAGAGAGGGAGAGATGCTGGAGATTGAAGCCAGGAGTGTCTTGCCATGTCAGCTGGGCTCAAACTAGGAGTTCTTAGATTTCTAGAGTGCTGGGCTTACAGGCCTGTACCACATGCCTGGCAGAAAATACTGCTTTCTAAGAGGCATGGAAGTGCTGTGGCAGCATAAAGAAGTGCGTGTGTCTTTTCAGCCCTTGAACTGGCTGACAGTTTGGCCACTGCCTTTCTTCCTGCCTGTTCCTGGTATCTGGCTGGCAGAAGTTCCTCTGGATGCCACTTTACTTCCATCTGCAAGCCCTTTCTCCCCTAATCTAGTTGTACGTAGACTGGAATGGGAGCCAGTTGATTAATGAGTGATTCAATTGCTGGGTGTGGTGGTACACATTTGTGATCATCCCAGCATTTTAGAAGGCCCTGGGTTCACTCCCCAGTAGTACCACTAAAAAAATTTAAAAATTGTGGATCAGAGGCTTTGAGGGAAACCGTAAGCACTGAATGAAGTATTTGGCTACCGTCATATGTTCTTCACTTGCTGGGGATTTAGCTCAATGGTTCTGCTGCCTGCCTCGCAAGCACAAGGACACAAGTTCAATCCGCCGGTACCAAAAAAAACAACAAAAAATAACATGCTCTTGAGTTGACTTCAGTTCTATCTAGAGCGGTGTTTGTAAGCAGAGGCTTTCAGTTCCAAGTCTTGAGCGGGTACTGGGTATTGAACCCAGGGCCTTTGCATTGAACTACATCCCCATCCCCCTCACCCCCTTTTTGAAGACAGGACCTCACTGAGATGCCCCGGCTGGGGTCCAACTTGTGACCCTCTTACCTGAGCCTCCCAGATTGCTGGGACGCAGGTGAGTGCCACCACTCCCAACAAGTTCCATTCTTTTTCCCTCCCCTCACTTCCCCTCCCTTCTTTCTGTCTTGTGTGTGATACTGAGAATTGAATCCAGGGCCTTCCCACTGAGTTACATCCCAGCCAGCCCTTTCCATAATAACTTTTTTTTTTTTTTTTTTTTTTTTTTTTTTTTTTTTTTTTAGGCGGCACTGGGGATTGAACTCACATTTCCACTGAGCTACATCTGCAGTCTTTTTTTATTTTGGGAGAGGGCCTCAATAAATTGCTCAGAATGGCCAGATGTTGTGGTGCACGCCTGTAATTCCAGCACTTGGGAGGGCTGAGTCAGAAATACCTCTTAAGTTGGAGGCCAGCCTGGGCTACATAGTTCAAGGCCAGTCTGAACTATATAGTGAGACCTTGTCTCAAAAAACAAACAAAACACCCAAATAAATATGTATGTATCTAGCCCAGTTTGGGCTTAGACTTGATTCTCCTGTGGCTTCCTGAAGTGCTGAAGTTACAAGCATGTGCCACAATTCCTGGCTAAACTACAGCTCTTTATTTGCTTTCCAGGATTGTATGTTGTAACTGAGGTAATGCACATAAATTTTTAGTTCCTGACACATAACCATACCAATGCTTTCAGCACAAATGATTTAAATGTTACTAATGTGCAAAGAAATTTTTATTAGCTAGTCAGGGCTTTACAACTAATGTAGCCTAAAATGGCTAAAACTTTACTAGGTTCTGTTTCAGATTCAGGCAGTGTGTTCAAGCATTAAAATCTTTAAAAATGTCACATTAAAGTGCTTAATGGCAACTGTTACCCTAAATGATTCCAAATTTATGAAAAGTGTGCAGATCACTAAGAGCTATGTTGAGATTCCATCTACAGGATCCAAATCCCTTGTCTTTCTTTAAAAAGAAAAGCTTTGGGCTGGGGATTTAGCTCAGTGGTGCCTACCACCTGACTCGCAAGCTCAAGGTCCCAAATTCAATCCCTGGTATCAAAAAAAAAAAGAAAAAGAAAAAGCTTTTTCACAAACACTTTCCTTTATGTTATTTCTATAGTTACCCTCTAGAAGACTTGGAAGATTCTGACTTATTAGAGGCAGGCGAGGTGGCGCACGCCTGTGATCTCAGCACTTGGGAGGCTGAGGCAGGAGGATCGCTGTAGCACTTGGGAGGCTGAGGCAGGAGGATCGCTGTGAGTTTGAGACCAGCCTGGGCTACATAGTGAGTTCCAGGGCAGTCTCAACTACATAGTGAGACCCTGTCTCCAAAAAAAAAAAATCTGACTTCTTTTTGTGCTTCTGTTCTCCCTTTTCCCAAAGAAAATATAGAACACCCATTCAGCAACATTTGCTGAGTGTCTACTTATTCATGCTGAACACTGAGAGCATGATGAGCAAAACCAGTGATTTGTGGAACATTTTATGTGGACAGGAGCACAAAGCTAGATAATATTCCATAAACAGGTGATTACCAGCTCTAGTTATGAGCACACCACAGGTGCTGAAAGAGAACCTCAGTATAAAAGAATGAAGTTGGACCTTCTTTTACCAGTCTATATTCCCAGTACTCTGGGAGGCTGAGGCTGGAGGAGGATCACAAGTTCAAGCCCAGCCTGGTCAATTTAGTGATTTAGCAAGACCCTATCTCAAAACACTAAAAAGAAAAAAGGGCCTTGCAAGTATCTCTTATGCAGGAAGCCCTGAGTTTCGTCTCCAGTTCTGTATAAAACAAAAATGACTACAAACAACAACAGTGGCTTTTTGAGGAGGTGGCTGTTGATACCTGAAGAAACTAGAGTTGGGATGAGTTGAGGATAAGGACTGAGAATTGTCACTACCACTACCTCACCCTGATTTTCTGCATGCTACATAAATGCTCTAATTCTGAGTTATATCCCCAGCCATTTGAGACAATAGTGGTTGTCCAGGCTGGTCTCATCTATGAGCCTCCTGACTCAGCCTCCCAAGTAGATGGGATTATAGGTGTATGCCACTTAAGCTGGATTTTTTTTTTTTTTTTTAAGGGTAGGTGCTACGTTAGATTGTGTCCTGTAGGCTATGGTGAAGCTTTTGTCTGTACTAAAAAGACATGGAGAATTGAAGGGCTTGGGTGAGAAGATGACATTAGATTTTTTTGTTTTAAAGTGCTATATTTACACAAATGGTTAACCTCTCTGGATTAGAGCATCAGACTGCAAAGTACAGATGAAGAAATCAAAGACTGGACAGTGAAAAGAATGGTTAGAAGAAGGTTAAAGGACTTAAATTTGTGGCTACAGATTAGGCTTTCTGTTGTTACTAATGTCAACTCTTTGTAATTAGGAGATGTTTTAAAAATTATGAAAAGCTAGGGTAGGTGGTTCTGGATTGTCCCTATCCTCGAGTGAAGTATGATGCTGACCCTCCTAAGAGGGCAGCTCCAAGAGCAGAATCTGGCTCAGTGGTTCCACTGCCTGTCTCACAAGTGCAGGGGCCTAAATTCCATCCCCAGTACCAAAAGAGAAAACAAAAAAATCTGCTGGCAGGGAGAGTTTCAAAGAAAAGAGCATTTTCTTCAAAAAAGGTATCAAGACTTGGAAACAGGGCCATGGATTAAGCCCCGTGGTGTGTGCCTGTCTTGTAAGTGCAAAGTCCTGAGTTCAATCTCTGGTACTGGGGAGAGAAAAAAAAAAAAAAAAAGACTTGGAAATAATTGGTTGTGGGTAGAGGTGGTGACTTTTTAGTAGTCACAGTTCTGTGGGAGGACTGTATGCCCTGAACTTGGGGCTTCCTGCATGCTAGGCAAGGAAGCTTGAGTTTGTCAGTGACCTCCCCCCGTATTGTACTAGACTACATTACTTCAGTATTTACTTGCCCCATAGTTAAAGTTTCCTTCCACATTCCCACTTTAAAAACTTACCAGTTGGTAAATTTCTTGCATACTCTCAGGAAACAAAAATTCATGCATGCAATGGAACATAAGCTAAAGGGTGCACATAAAGCATTGAAAATACTATTCTTTGTTTTTCATTAAATATATCTTGGAAACCTGTCCATATGGAGGTGTTTATGTTACTGTATGCTGATATAACCACATACAAATAAGTAGGCTTTTTTTTTTTTTTTTTTTTGGTACTGGGGATGGAACTCAGGACCTTTCGCTTACAGGGCAGGTGCTGTGCCACTGAGCTAAATCCCCAGCCCTGTTTCATTGTTCTTCACAACTGTGAGACATCGTGTTTTTTTTATTTTTGTGGTAGTGGAGATCAGACTCTGGACCTTCCACTTGCAAGGCAGGTGGCAGGACCACTGAGCTAAATCCCTGGCCCTAATAGTTTTAATTTGATTTTATTTTTTTGAGACATCCCACTTTATGAAGCTGTATTCACCATTTAGGTTGTTTCTGGGTTGGGTTTGGTTTGGTTTTTGAGCCAAACCAACTATAAACTATTTTCTAAAGGATATTTATGCATATACCTTTTTTCCTCCCTCGTGTTGGGGGTTGAACCTACGGAATTCTAAATGCTCTACCTCTGCGCTATATCCCTGGCCCCTTGTGCATAGACCTTGTACTTTCACAGTTCTTTCCATAGGAAATCACTGGGTCAGAAATACAAAATTTAAGTTTTGCAACAAGAATAACACTAAGCAAGTCAGAAAATAAAGCTCATGTTGTAAAATAACATAAAAATATCAGAAAGATAAATGAACAAAGAATTCATGGTTGGGCCGGGGATTTAGCTCAAAGGCTCGCACCTGCATGCATGAGGTCTTGAGTTTGATCCCCGGTACCAGGAAAAAAAAAAAAAAAGTACATGGTGGTCAGGAGATGCCGCTTGAGAAGAGCTAAGATTCTAATGCAAAGATGTAGAATTCCATAACTGGAAGCAAATTGTGCAAGAAAAAAATGCTTGACAAGCGTAAAGACCTTAGCAAAGGACCGAACTTGGCTTGAGGAAACAGTTAAGAAACCAGGATGGTGGAGGGTACAGCAGAGGACAAGGTACCGGTAGGTGGGCGTTGGCTATTGCAAGCAGTTCGGGTCCTGTTCCTGCTTTCCCTGGGAGAGTTGGCATACTCTCCCCAATGAGAAGAGTGAATGAAGCCACTTAACCGCGGGGTGGGTGACTGCGCCAATTTCCTATCTCCACTTTCAACGTCTACAAAGGCGCCACAGCCTGCGAAGGCTTCGTGGGAGGAGCCGCGAGTTTACCTGTCTTCCAGCACGGACTCCATGGGCTCCACTCCGTCGGTGTCCACCGCACGCAGACGGTCGGCGAAGGCGATGGCTTTTTCCAGCCGCGCCACAGCTTCGCGGCTGCCAAAGTCCACAAGCGCTAGACGCTCCAAGTGCTTGATCACATCGGCATTAATACTACCGCTTCTCTGGGGGATAGAGCGGGGAGCGTGGGTCACGGGCGAGGCCTGCCCCGCCACCCACCTAGACACTGCTGGCCTTTACCTGAGGATTCGCCTTCGTGGCGAAGGCTTGGCGCCCACCAAGTCCACCCCGAACGGTCAGCCGCACCACCCGCGCCCACATTTCTCCCTTTCTCGGCCACCGTACTGCGCAGCAGCGCAATGCCAAGCGACGCGTTTAAGTGTGATGACATCAGAGTGCGCCTCTGTGGCTGCAGCCTTCGCCATGAACAGCGTCGGAGAGGCTTGCACTGACATGAAGCGCGAGTACGACCAGTGCTTCAATCGCTGGTTTGCCGAGAAGTTTCTCAAGGGGGAAGGTTCCGGAGACCCGTGCACCGATCTCTTCAAGCGCTACCAGCAGTGTGTTCAGGTGAGCTGCTACCCGAGTCCTCCATTCACTCCCCTCAGGCCCTGCGTTGCCTGGTGACCCCTGCCACACGCATCACATCTGGCGGGAGTTGTGATGCGGAGGGTGGAGAAAGTCCATAACGTGGCCTGTGGCAGCAGCCCGCTCCCCTGCTCTCACCGTCATGGCCGCCTAGGTGTGTCCCGACTGACCAATTTTGATTGGTGAGACAAGGTCTCGCTGTGTAGTTCAGGGTGGCCTTGAACTCCCCTTGTAGTCAAGCCTGGCTCGTGGGGATCCTTTCTGCCTCTGGAGTACTGGGATTACAGGCGTGCGCCACACGCCGGCCTAGACCAGCTATTTTTGTAGGGCTTTACTTTTTCTGAGATGGGGCTGGCTTTGAACTCGCGTTCTTCCTGCCTCAGCCTCCCGAGTAGCTGGAATTGCACAACACCCGTTTTAAGTGATTTACTCTTTAAGAAGTACAGTAATATCTTTTGGTTCACTTATTTGGTGGTTGTCCTAAAGTTTCAAAGTAGCCGTACTTACACCCAGAAATAGGAAATGGTTCATGTAAGTTCACTAGACCAGGTTTCCTTGACTGTCAGTGGTGCATTTTTCCCTATTATGCTGTTGGGTGAGTGAGGTGTTTACTTTCTTTAGCCTGTTAAATCATGGAGGATCCCCCTTTTTGTTATAATCTCCTCATTGGCTTGTTATTTCTTTTGACCAGTTGTTAACTGCAAGTAGTGTCATTCAGATTCAGGGGATGTGGGACCACTTTAAATTACAAGAACAGCCCTGGGAAAAGCACTTCTATTCAATTAACCTAAACCATCCTCACATAGTTGCACAAAGTAGTTGCTATCTGTGCCTCCTTTACCGATGAGGACAGTGAGGCTTGCCCCAAGGGTACATAGCCAGTAAGCTCTGGAATCCAAATTGAACCCACATTTGTCACTAAAATAAAGTGATTCATTTTCCAAATGTCACCCCCCCCCTTCGGTACCAGGATTGAACTCAGGCCCTTGTGCCTGCGGAGCCAGTGTGGTGCCGAGTGTCACTTTTATATTTTGCACAGTAGTAGGAACTGAACCCTGGGCCTTTGCACTGAGCTACATCGCAGCTTGCCATACCACTCTTTTATTTTTTTGAGACAGGTTCTTCTAATGTAGGTTAGGCTGGCCTTGAACTCACAGTATATCTCAGGCTATCCTTGAACTCAAGGTGGTCCTCCTACTTTAATCTCCCCAGTACTGGAATTACAGGCTTGTGCTACCATGCCCTGCCCACCACTCCTCCTGTTTTTGGAGACAGAGTTTCACTATGTAGTTCAGGCTGGCCTTAAACTTGCAGTACTCCTGCCTCTGCCTTGGGAGTACCAGGATTATAGGCCTGCACTATCACACCTTGGCACCCACCACCCCTTTTTTTATTTTTCCTTTTACCAGGGATTGAACCCAGGACCTTGCACTTTGGCACCACTGTGCTAACTCCCCAGCCCTCACTCTTTTAAAAAAAAAAAAAGTTTCTGAAAGACAAGTTGTCACTAAATAGCTAAACTGCCCATGTTAGGCTTGACTTGCTAAATTCCTTTCAGTCTTCCAGTAGTGGGATTATGGGCGTGTTCCATCACGCCTAGCCCAATGTCACTTCTGAATTTTAATGGTTCCTTTACAATTCTTCCTTCAATCTTTTATCTGGTTTTAACACTTTTTTTGGTAATAGTACTTCTGTTTATTAAAAAATGCATCACTTTATATAGTCGATCTGATTTTATTTTGTGCTATCACATTTTATTTGCAAAACTTGTACTTCAAACTTTATATTTATGTGTTTTTTCTCCCATCAGAAAGCAATAAAGGAGAAAGAGATTCCTATTGAAGGACTAGAGTTCATGGGCCATGGCAAAGAAAAGCCTGAAAACTCTTCTTGACCTTGAAAATGGATTCATCAGGAAATTGAGGACTCTGGATTTTGTCAACTAAGGCTCTGGATATAGCCATGGAATTGATGAGTTTAGGAGGGAGGAGTTTTATTTCTTCCTTCTTGATGTTTTCCTCTCACTTGTAAATGATGAACTATCACTCTGCTTTGAGATGATTTCTCACTTGTTCTGGCATCTTCCAGGAACGCAGTGTGCTAAAATTGAACAATTTCTTGAGGTTATGATTGCAATATGTGGTCTGGATGATTGCAATATGTGGTCTGGAATTAGCTTTAAATATGTCTTATATGTAAATAATGATAAACTAATCAAGATGATCAGGGTTGCCTGAGGTCTTGACTTTGCTGCAAAAGACATACTGTACGGGGTCATTGTTTATGAAAGCATTTGGTTAGGACCTCTTTTTCTCTCTCAGGGAGCAAATACTCTATAAAAAGAGATCCAGGCACAACAGCTGCAATTAATACTTGGAGCAGTTATATTTTTGTTTTGGGGTTTTTTTTTTGGTTTTTTTTTTTTGGTACCGGGGATCGAACTCGGGCCCTTAGCTGCTTGAAAGACAGGCGGTGGAACCACTGAGCTAAATCCCCAGCCCAAGCAGTTATATTTTTATATAGTGACTAACAATTAAATTTGCGGGTGACCTGGGTAGCAAAGAGGAAGACAGCTGTTAACACTTCCTGCCTCCAGGTGTCTTAAGTTATGAAAGCTTCAAGAATGTTGACATAAACACCATTTCAGAGCTCAGTTGGTGTTTGTAGTGCCTATGGAAGAACCACCTGTTACAGAGATTTCGTGTTGCCAGCTTTCAACCCAAGTTAATGAATTGAGTCAACCTGCCTATCATAAAAAAGCCAAAATGCTGCATCTGGTAAGGTGAAGGGGAAAGGTGCTTGCTTATTTGCCTTGTTTGCCCACCTTATAATGTCTGTAATCATGAAGATGGAATAAACTCTAACATTTAGTTTTCAATCATTATTTGTCCTTGGGACTCAGTGTACTGTATGGAATACCTGCTACCCTGTTACCCTACATGTTTCATAAGTATATTGCAGTTTTATGTTTTATAATTTAAAGGGGAAGTTTTATTTACACCAGGTAGTATAATTCTTAGAAACCCAATTTCTAAAATTTATTTCCATAGTAGTCTATATAAATACCTAACTAAAATTTTTGTTTTGGAACCAAAAGAATTCAGGATCAAGTCTGGCATGGTGGTGCACACTTGTACTCCCAACATTATGGGAGGCTGAGGGGGCAGGATTCCAAGTGTGAGCCCAGCCTGGGGAACTTGGTGAGACGTGATCTCAAAAATTTTTTGTACAGGACCAGGGATTAGCTCAGTGGTGCCATGCCTGCCTTGCAAGTGCAAGGTGTGATCCCCAGTAAAAAAAAAAAAAAAAATAATAATAATAATATATTTTTTTTTAACAAAGGGCTGGGAATGGCTCTGTGTGAAGGCCCTGGGTTCAATCCCAAGTACAAAAACAGGTATATTTTTTTTACAAAGGGCTGGGAATGGCTCAGTGTGAAGGCCCTGGGTTCAATCCCAAGTACAAAAACAGGTGTGGGGGTATCAGCTGAGCACTTACATATTTAAATTCATAGCTGCCTATCTTGAATTAAGTTCTTTGTTTTGTTTTGGTACCAGGGATCAATCTTGGGATCTTGCATTTGTGAGGCAGGCAGCTGAACCAATGAGCTAAATCCCTGGCCCTTCAGGAATTAAGTTTTATTATATGTCTGAAGATACTATGAACTTGATTTACAGAAGCCCTAAATACTTTTTATTTTCTAAAAAATTACTATTTCAGCCAGGTGTGCTGATTACAGGTATGGTATAATCCCAGCAACTGGGAGGTTGAGGCCAGCCTGAATTACATAGACTGTCTCAACCCACACCCACACCCCCAAAGGAACAATTACTAGTTCATATTTAATGTGACCAGCCCTTAATGTCATTTCAAAATATTCTACATTTATATTTTCTGACTGGTCTAAAGGTTTTTGTTTCAATGAGGGGAAAAAAAAAGAGGCTTTTGTTTTGTTTTTTGGTACTGGGGATCTAACTCAGGACCTTTAGCTTGCAAGAGTTTTGAGACAAGGTCTCACTGTGTAGTTCGGGCTGGCCTTGACATCATAATATAGCCCATGCTGGCCTTGAACACGCAGCAATCCTCTTGCCTCAGCCTCTGAAGTGCTGGGATTACAGGCATGCACCACACCTGGCTCCAAGGTGTCTTAACTAAAAGATAATAAAAAGATTTTGGAGGCCCCATTGAAGGCCAGGCAGCTGAAGTTAAACAGACCTACCCCAAACTGGCCACAAGCAAAATAGATCTGTGATGACTGAGGGCAGGGTGATAGGTCTCAAAATGGCCAATATAATAATAAATACTTTTTTTCCTTCCTGGTACCCGAAATCGAATTTGGGGCTGTGTGCTTGCCAGGCAGGAGCTGCGCTGCTGAGCTACATCCCTGGCTCAGTATTTTCGGTGGTGCTCAAGGTTAAATCCAAGGCCTTCAGCATAGAGTGTAAATGCTCTACCATTGAGCTACATTCCTCACTTTTGTTTATTTCAGTGGTTGTGAGGACTGAATACAGAGCATTTACACTGAGCTACTAGGCATCCTCAGCCCTTTTTTATTCTTTTGGTACCAGGGATTGAACTCATGACCTTGTGCTACATCCCTAGCCACAGCCCTTCTGTTTTTTGAGACAGGGTTTCAAAAATTGCCCGGGTGGTACTCAAATGTGTTGTAATCCTGCTTCAGCCTTATGAAGTGCTGAGATGACAGGCTTGTGTCACCTGGCTTCTAGCTCTTTGAGACAGGGTTTGCTAAATCACCCAGGCTAACCTCAAATTTTGAGATCCTCTGCCTTAGCCCCTGAGTTGCTTGAATTCTAAGTGTGCACCAACACACCTGCCTGAGAAAGGCTTGTTAACTAATTGCCAGAACAGATTTAAGAATCCTTGAAACATGGCGTGATGACACATGCCTGAAACAATACTTAGGAGGCTGAAACAGGTATAGCACTTGAGCCCAGGGATTTCAGACCCTGCCTTTAAAAAGAAAAAAAAAAAATCCTGAATTACCTCTAAAGCCAAGCATATTTATGTTACCAAGTCTAAGGAGACCATATACTAATAACTTCCTATGGCCACAAGCTACAAAAAGGAATACCTCAAAGTGCTACCAAGAGAATAATTGATTGTTCCTCATCCTATTTTTATTTTCTTGGTTTTTTTCCTATCCCCCTTGCCCTCCCTTCAACCCTTCTACCCCTCCCTTATTTACAAAGACTTTGTTTCCATTTCTCATACTTAATTCTTTTCCCTTCTTTCCCCCACCTCTCCCACTTCCCCTTTGGACCCTTTCTTCCTATTTGACATTATCTATTACACAGTTTGATATTTTCTGTTGTTTTTGAGACAGGGTCTGACTACATGGTGTAGCCCAGGCTGATCTCAAACTCTGTGATCCTCCTGCCTCAGCTTCCCAAGTGCTGGGATTACAGGCGTGCACCACCACATCCAGCTATACATTTTGATTCTTTTTGTTTGTTTTGTTTGGTTTGGTTTTTTGAGACAGCATCTCACTATGTAGTTGAGTCTGACCTGGAATTCATTATGTAACCCAGGCTGGTCTACAACTCCCAGCGATCCTCCTGCCTCAGCCTCCGAGTGCTGGGATTACAGGTGTGCGCCACCACGCCCGGCTTTTTTGTTTGTTTTGTTTTTCATTTTGATTATTTACACTTTGTTTTTCACACCAGAGAAACTATTCAGGATTTACATGTGTGTCCTATTTATTTCACTTAAAGAGTACGGCCTCAATGCACATCCATCAGCTATAAATGTCTCTAGTTTCTCATTCTTTATGGTTGAGTAGTACTCCATTTTACTTAAAAAAATCACTTTTTTTTTACCAGTCTCCAGTTGATGGGCAAATGGGCTGTTTCCAAGATTTAGCTATTACAAACTGTGCTGCTATATCCTCATCCTATTTTGACTTCATACTTTAAAGGTTTCAAGTTTTGATGAGAAATCAGTTGCCATTTCAGGGTGATTTTTGTAATTCTTATTACCATCTCTTCCTCCTAATTCTTAAGACTATGGGAGTTTTAATTTTAGAAACAAAGCCAATACTGTATGTAAAAATGTGTCCCACTGCCTGTTTCTCTAAAGGTTTCTGACCTTGTCAGCCTCCAAGGTGCTTAAGACGAGTCAGAAACAAAAAGGAAGAACCTGACTCTGGGAGAAAATTCTCCAACCACAAGGATTCTGCACCAAGTGATGGTACAAGGCACAGGAGAAAACAGACTGAGCATTTCCTGTTGGGAATCATAGGTTCCTCTTTTCAGGTGTAAGCCACAGCCATTCTGCCACACATTCAATGTCTTTGCTAGCCAACAACAGTCAAAGATCCCATCTTAATAATTAATTAGGTGACTGCTTTGTATTCCTGTCTCATGGTTCTACTCTAGGCACAAAAAACAAGAGGCCTGTTACAAACATTTAGTGGGTTGAACTGGACCTGAAACAACAAACAGGCACAGACCTTTGCTGCAGAAACAAAATATTAATATTAATTTTTTGGGAAAAAAACACACCAAAGAATGAAACTTTCAGGTTATGACCAATCATAGTTTAAGTTATTTATTTAAGCCATCTCTTGCCAAACAAAGGGATGGAGGATCAGTATGATGGTCATCATCTGATAAGTAAGGTGAGCTTAAGGTCCCATACACTTTTCTGGTCCGAATGAGTCATGGTCCAAATCAGAGCTTCGGTCCCCAATGCCTAGGTAATAATGGTCCAGGTTCTCTTCATTCATCTTCATAGCCAGTCGGAAGCGGGTTCACATGAGGGTTATGGAACAGAGTGTGATTACCGTCTCCCCACGGAAAGGGCTGTGGAGTGAAGGTGTCCCAATTAGATAATCCCCGAGAATAGTTCACAAAGAACACTGCCATGAACCGCTAAAAACGGCTGATAGATAATATACAAAATGGAAATCAGTCCTTTAATTATTAGAGTATTTCAATCCTTCCATAATTTAGGGGAGCTCTCATTGCTACCTAAAGTAGACAGGAGAAAAAGGCTCGTTAGTTGTCAGTCAAGCCTCTCTCCTCCTGACTGCTTCTCAACCTTTTGGGTAAGATCATGTGTACTGTTTGATATCTGTTCTTATCAGTTTATTACCTGATATGTCCTTCAACTGTGGAATATACGTACAGGGAGGCAGACTGAACCCAGGGTGTTTGCCCTGAGATACATCCCAGCCCTTCTAAAAATTTATTTTCAGTGTCTCGCTAAGTCATTAAATTTCCCAGGCTGAGCTCAATCTTTTTTTTTTTTTAAGAGTTAGGAAAAATGTATTGAGGGAAATAAAGCTTCTGTCTGAGAGACAGAAGGGGGATCGGAAAGTGGGCTGACCCGGGCTCAAACTTTCAATCCTCCTGCCTCTGTCTCTCAGAGTGCCAAGATTATAAACCTGCACTACGGCACCAAGGTAAATAAACAGATTTCTAGGTTCCACCCAAGACTTGAAACAATCTCTGGACTGGGAAACTGCAACTTACCCTCAATTATTTTGCTTACTACCTTTGAAAAACATTGCTCTTCCGGCAGGGGTTTCTAACCCAGGGGAATTTCAGTTTCCAAGGAACTTGGGTCAGGATCAGACACTGAGGGGTAATGCTGCCATCTAGTGGATAGAAGCCAGGGAGGGTAGACGCAAAACCCGCAAAGCACAGGACAGCTGTGCTCCCCACTCCCAAAATGCCAACAGCGCTTAAATTGACACCAGGCTGTTTTGGTTCCTAATTTCAGTGTGCAAGGGTGGCAGTGGAACTCAAAGAGTCAGAATTTGAAGAGTCTTGGGTGAGTTACCATCAGGCTAATTCTACTCAGGACAGGCCAGTGGTGGCAAACCTGCGGCACTGATGCTGCAGTGGGCTGTTGTCTCTGAAAACCCTAAGAGGTTCACCAGCACTGGGATAGGTGATGTCATGAATTAAAGAACAAGGAAGAGGGCTTTTTAAGAAAAACAGCAAGCAGCCGGGACTTAGCTCAGTGGTGCCGCCGCCTGCCTCACAAGCGCAAGGTCACAAGTTCGATCCCCTGTAACAGCAGCAGCAGCAGCAGCAGCAAGGCCAGGGATTTAGCTCCGTGGTTCCGCCGCCTGGCTTGCAAGCGCAAGGACCCGAGTTCGGTCGCCGGTACCAAAACAACAATAGCAAGCAGTGAAGAATAAGTGATTACAACGCATGGATTGCCAAATGATAGTTGGACAAACAGGTACTGGTGGGGAACAAAGGAAACTGTCGATCATCGCCATGATGCAGCTAGAATCCTTTAGATGTCCAGACCTTGGAAAGGTGAACCATCTTCAGATCTTGCCACCCTAAAAGTGTTTCCCAAGCCAGACCTCTGGTGGCACACGCCTCTAATCCCAGCACTCTTGGGAGGCTGAGGCAGGAGGAACTCAAATTTGAACCTAGCCGGCAACTTTGTGTGATCCTATCTCAAAATTAAAAAATTAAAAATGGCTAGGGATGTAGTATTGTGCTAAGGCCAGGCCTGGGTTCAATTTCCAGTATACTGAAAAAAGAAATAAATAAGAGGCTTTGGCAAACCTCCAAGTTTTATGCAACAGACAACTGTTTCAGAACTGTATCCGAAGGCAAGAGACAGGATGAATCGGAGAAACGGGAACCAGAACAGAAGGACGCCTACTGCATGATCTTGAAGGAAACAGATGGAACCTCTAGTTGGCTTCCCTTCTGTTTGAGAATTACGCGAGAAACCGTACACGCCTGACAGCTGCGCTTTTGTTTTCTCAGGGCTGGGGATTGAACCCTGGGCAGCTGTGATTTTAGAGTATGGAGAACTTGGGCTAGGACACACGTCTGGACAGCTGTGGGCACCGCGCAAGTGCGTACCTTGGTCCTGATGCGGAGGTGGGGGTAGGCGATGAACTCGGGTCTCTCCTCCTCTCCGTGGCGCGACTTCAGGAAAACATTCAGCATGCTCACTCCCACCCCGGGGAGCGCCACGAAAAAGGTGAGGGCCTTCCACAAGCGAGCTGCGGAAGGGCCACAACCTCTTAGTTGTGCGAAGGGGTCGCACTCGTTCCCTCAAGCCTTCAAACCAAGGTCACAGACCCTCCCTGCCTCGCTCGCGTGGGAGCCCCCTCCCGCCGACCCCAGTCTTGGTACCTGAGCTCTCCTCGCCGTGGGCGCCACTCGACATAAGCCGCCCCACCTGCGGGCCGGAACGGCCTAGCAGCCGGGAAACTCGGCTCGCAGGTATCGCCGCAGCCACCATTTTGGACCTGGACCACTGGAGCGCCGGAAGCGGAAGTAGGGCGTGTTTGGGGAGGTGGGACCACAACTCCAAAGGGAAGTTTCTATTGGGCAATGACTGCTCAATCATGTTAACTAGACAGAGAAGCCTGCGCCCTGTCATTCAGGCTGACCTAGTCCTGGTCAAAAATCCATGGAGCCGCGGACCTAGACTGAGCACGCGCTCTGAGTCTCCCTTTGTGCACCGCCTTCCTCTTGGAAGGCGCGTGCGTGTGTAGTGTTCCCTACCGTTCCGCCTTGGTGAGGAGTGTGGAGAAATGTTCGTGCGAGGCATCCTGGGATCTGTCTGATCGCTCCCTTCACGGGAGTCCATGGACAGCATATAGACATTTCAAGCAAAAACCACCCTTTCCAAAATGCCATTTCTCAAATAGGCTTTGTGGAGCATCCCTGTAATCCTCTTTGGAAGGCAGAGGCGGGAGGATCACCGCTACATAGTAAGCCTGGCTACATAGTAAGACTCTCAAGAAAGAAAAAAAAAAACATTTTTTCTGTCTTCTGATTCTGTTATCTTTTCATCGCATCTGACATCATAGTCATTCTCATTATTACTGTATTTTATCTGAATCCTCCCAACTAGAATATAAATTCTGTTAATGCTGAAAGTTTGCCATTGTAGCTTTCCCAGATTAACGTTGTAGCCTAGAATCATGCTTGGCGGGGTGTAGGTGCTTAATACAGAATGAATGAATGATAGATAATAAATGACTAAATGGCAGATGGAACCAGAAAGAGCCCTAGAATTGGTGCCCCAAAAAATCTAGATTCTGACCTGGCTCAACATTCTTAATTTTTTGCTAATAGTCATGCTGCTTTTCCTTGAATTTCTACAAACAAAAGTCAGTACATGTTAAATTATTTCTAAACAACTCGTTCACTCCTGGCTTTTTTGTTCCCTTTTCTTCCATCTGATTGTTTACAAGCAGTTTGGTTAAGGTGGGCATTATGGCGCTATGCCTATAATTCCAGCTATTCCTGAGGAGCTGAGTCGGAAGAATCCCAAATTGAAGTCCAGCCTGGGCAATTTAGTAAGACTGTCTCAGGGAAAAAAAAAGTTGGGGGATATAGCTCAGTTATAGAGCACTTGCCTGGCATACTGCAGACCCTGGGTGCAATCACCAGTATTGCAAAACAAAGAATGAATAAATCAGTAAAAGTTTCTCAAGGCATGGTGGTACATGTCTGTAATCCCAGCACTTGGGAGACTGAGGCAGGAGGATTGCTGCGAGTTCAGGCCAGCCTGAGCTATATAATGAGTTTAAGGCCAGCCTGAATTACATAGTGTGAAACCGTTTTAAAAAACAAACAAGTGCTGGGGAATGTAGCTCACTGGCACCACACCTGGCAAGCGATCCCCCAGTACCGGAAAAAACAAAACAAAAAAATACAAAAACAAGCCCTGTGTGGGGGCTGTCGCCTGTAATCCCAGCACTCAGTAGGCTGAGGCAGGAGGATCACTGTAAGATCAAAACCAGCCTGGGCTACATAATGAGTTCCAGGTCAGTCTCAACCACATAGTGAGACCCTGTCTCAAAAACAAAACAAAACAAAAAAAAACAAAAACAAGCCCTGTGTGGGGGCTTCGCCTGTAATCCCAGCACTCAGTAGGCTGAGGCAGGAGGATCACTGTAAGATCAAAACCAGCCTGGGCTACATAATGAGTTCCAGGTCAGTCTCAACCACATAGTGAGACCCTGTCTCAAAAACAAAACAAAACAAAAAACACAAAAGTTTAAAAAAAATATGTGGATAAGATGAAAGTGAGCTCTTTGATGATCTAGGAATGTAATGAAAGTTTTGAGCTCTTTTTAAAAAAAGAAACACCTTCACACAAGCACACATGGTTGAGTAGATAAAGTTGGGGGAAGAGGTGACCATAAAGTACACTGGGAGACCCCTGAAAAGTCCCTGGCTTAGAATAAGACCCCCTGGAGAATCTATAGTTGCTATTAGGGAGTCTGAAGTGGAAAGCTCATTTGAGCCCCAGAGTTCAAGGCTCGCCTGGGAAATAGAGAAAAACCAGCACAATGGTGCACATCTATAATCCCAGCCACTTGGGAGCCTGAGGCAGAAGCTTCATAAATTCAAGGTAAGCCTGGGAAATTTAACAAGACTGTGTCTCAAAATAAAATTGTAAAAGGGCTGGCATGCAGCTCCGTTAAGTACAGTGCCCCTGGGGTCAATCCCCAGGACCTCTGGCAGGGAGTGTGGGGTGGGTTCCAGGGTGGGAGAACAAACAAGAATTCCTCTGGCTTGAGAGGACTGAGCCTGTGTGACCGGGGGCAAATCAGATGAAACAAATATTTTAAAGTCTTGAAGTTGTGTGAACACGAAAATTTAGGATCCTAAAGCTTTACAGTCTGATCCAGCAGTCTTTCTGTGAGTAGCTTGAGATTTTTTACATCTCATAGTGTAGTCAGAATCATCAAGCTGGCATGGTGGTGCCCACCTGTGATCCCATCACTCCAGAGGCTGAGGCAGGAGGATTGCTTCGAGTTCGAGGCCAGCGTGGAATACATAGTGAGTTCGGGCCAGTCTGAACTACATAGCAAGACCCTGTCTCAAAAAAAAAAAAAAAATCATCGACTTCCTAGGCACCATCAGACACAGCCAAAGGTGGTGTTTGAAGCCCAACAGTGTGACCAGAGGAAGGGTCCAAGTACTGGGTTCGGGAAATCCTGGGTTTGAGTCTCCAGTCCGCCATGAGCTATTCTTCCTCTTTAGAATACGAATGTAATATATATGTATTCATCCATTCAAGAATATTAAAACCCTGCTCTGTGGGGATTTAGCACAGTGATTTCAGCACCTGCCTTGCAAGTGCAAGGTCCCAATTTCAATCCCGGGTACCAGAAAAAACAAAAAACAAAAAACCTGCTCTGAGATAGGCAGAATGGTGCACATATGTAATCTCAGCTATTCAGCAGGCTAAGATGGGAGGATTTGAGTTCAAAGCCAGCCTGGGCAACTTACTGAGACCGTATCTCAAAGAGAAAGCTAAGAAGGGCTGAGTGTGTTGCTTGGTGGTAGAGCACTTGCTTAGCGTGCATGAGGCCCTCATACCACAAGAACAAACATATAAATAACCCAGCTCCATCATGTGAAGTTTACTCAATCTCCCCTGTAACTTTCACCAGGGATTTAGCTCAGTGGTTCCGCCGCCTGCCTCACAAGCGCAAGGAACCGAGTTTGGTCCCTGTACAAAAACAACAACAACAACAACAAAAAAAAAAAAAAAAAAAAAAAAAAAAAAAAAA